GGAAACTTTTGTTCTTTTCAGGGCGGCTGCGTTGCTGCGTTAGCCTAGGAGCGCGGAAGATATCACCCAGACGGTGAGAGCACTTAGCGTGGCAAGCAAAAAAAGTTAAAGAGGACATAACTTCTGGAGTCATAAATTTTTGAATTGGAGATTCGGAACTGCTTGACTCCGCTTCGAGAAAAATATAAACTGAGATTCCATCATAAGCCGAAAAGTGCTTCTTTACCGAAATAAAAGACACAAGTTTCTAGGAAGACGTCTTTGAAAAGTAATAACTTCTTTCAAATGCGAGTTTTGGGCGGTAAAAGTTTCAGAAACTCCGAATGTTTTTCTATGCAAACTGTATAAGAACGTGATCGTCCCCTTTTTCAAAAAATTGTCCCGTTCGAACATTTTTCGTGCAAAAGCGAGTTTTTGGGCTTTCAGCGACCATAACTCACTTCATTTTCATTTCTGTGATGCACTTTTTTCATGGGGTGAAAGTACAGGATTTGCTCTTTCTAACAAGCACCAAACCATTTCTCAAAGTTCATTTTTGAGAAAATCACACGTTCGCACATTTTTCCAAGGTTTTCGAGCAGTAAATTCGACTTTTTGAGCTTTCAGTAATCACAGTTTCCTTCAAGTGGCTTGTTGTAAGGGCCGAAGGCGTTTTTGGAGCTACGGGATTTCCACTTTCTAACGTGCTCCAAACTTCTCGTGAAGAAGCTTCCATAAAAATCTGGCTCTTCCAAATCTTTTATTTTCAGCCTCAAGAAAATTGTTCCATAGCACTGCACTCCGTTGATCTTTGTTTGGTCCTAATACACCGAGATTCGTCCCAAACTATCTCTCCGCGCGTAATGAGTGGAGTTTGAAGCGGTTGGCACAAAAGACTTGCTCTGAGATACGCCACGCACGCGCCTGTGGTTCAAAGTTGCAAAGGTATTTGGAAGTCTATTTCCTCTTGCTATGACCCGGACTTGCTCAATTTTTCGCACTGCTACCACGCTCTGATGCGACGAAGCGAGCTCTCCCTAAAAGTTTTGCTGAAGACAGAAAGATTTTTCTACGATGTATAGTAATTCACGCGGAGAAACACTTCAGGACGAAAGGTCGAGCCTGGAAAGAATAATTATTTTGAGTTTATGACAACTTCATGTTCTTTGTGAGCGTTCCCCCAGTCCTTCATCCACCGACCAATGACGCTACCGCCGCGATTTCGGCTGCGGGTCCTCGAATTGCGACCCCTCCCTCGGCCCATGACCAAAATGCGACCCCCTCGTTCGAATAGTGCGAACGGACGGTTGACCCGATCCCGACCACTGGCTTTAAACAATTGGGTCACTGAATACTTCATGTCGGGAGGTCTCGACCCTCGGTTTTGAAGTCCTTGAACTGATGGTTTCTGGGAAGAGTAGGAAAGAGTTGTTTCACAGGTTTCCTGGGCACTACACAGATAAAATGCCCACTTCCAGCAGAGAATGTTCTCTAAACTGAGGTGCCGATACAGATATATCGTTATAGTGACTGCTTGCTGAATTCAAAAACGGATCCAAACCTGACATCTACTGGAAACGAACTAGTCAAACATGCCTTCAAAGAAGATCACACTATCACTCAGTACAAATTGTGATATATGATTCACCGATAAACCAGTGAAAAAGGTTTCCTGTTCAATCACGAGATGCGTCAGTTGTTGCGCCAGAAACATCAATTTCTTTCACAAATTTTTATGTACATAGAACGTATCCGAAACAACACTATGACTAGGAGTTTATTGATATTAATTTACAAGGATGTTTGTTAAAATGCACGAATAGTATTTAAGAAGGACCACTAATGTCGAATCCGAACACCTCATTGCTGAGTAGGGTCACAAGCAACATAATTACATACACCATATGACGATAGAAACTTTTAAAACGTAGATCAATGAAATCCGAATGATGACAGCTGCCAAAGCACATGAACGGGGAGTAGACGTACCAAGGACCAGTGGCCACTTCGATCTTCCTCTTGGTAGATGACATAGACGAGGGTCTGCATAAGTTGCTGCACGCGGTCGCGTCGCGGCGTCTACTTACGTAACCATGCACCCTGTGCGAGGTTGCGCCATAGCTAGATCCCGCAACGCAACCTCGAGCGAGGCACAATACAGACTCATCGTGATCCATATCAGAAATGAAAGTGCCGCGAAAAGACTATTTAAGAAGACAATAGAGGGTCGCTATCACGAAACAAAAACAAAACATATCGAGATCGATGTTATAAGCTGTTTCTAACTTCTTTTCTTCACACATTCACTATATTCACAAGGACACTCGTAACGTACTGCTCAGCAGCCGTTCTTGGCGCAAATGCCCTTAAGATACAACTTCTCCTTGCCCAACTGGGATTGTTATTCAGTTGGAGAATATCCATGTCGTTGGTTCGATTCTCGTCATCTGTTGAGGAAGACGTCAATATCGAAGAGGTGTAAGAACAGATGTCACGGAGAGATTGCCATTTCGAACATCAGACGTGTACGCCTAAATAAATACAATAAATGGTAGATCGAGTTCCAGAGATCATGTTTTATGTCTATGATAATCCAATGCGTAGCGTGTTGTCACTGGAGAGCGCGTGCTTTCATAATCGCCGTCGCGTGGTGCGCGTCAAGTATAAGGATCATATTCATCATAATTGTATAATATATAAAATAAATGTCTCACACAGTACATATGTTCACAAAACTTATCAGTGTATATATGAGACGTGAAATCAGTTAAACCATGTGGTAAAGATTACGTAATAAGAATTGAGAGTTTCGAAAAACGCTACCAGTGGCGTTCACGCTCTGCTCGGAATTTGGAGCCGAGTAGGCGCCGTTCCCTAACTGTCTCTGCCCTGCGCTGTTCGAGGCAGGACCATGGAGCAAAGTTCAAGAAATCGTAAACCATGACCACACCCCCACCCCCTTCTACGTGAATTATTTCTAACATCACCTTAGCCTACGCTCCAACCGCGGCCCTCCACCACAGCGCACCACTCTTTTGCCCTTACGTCACAGTCCCGAATCTTTTCCATCGCAAGCTCTCTCCAACCGTCTGGCATTCACTCTCTCGCATTGGAGTGCTCTCTAATAAACGGCTGTATACGCACACATCCACACACATACAGACACACAGACATACTTAGCTCCTATATATTTAGTAGGATGTTTTGTCCCATACATATCTTGTCGGCGCAAATATTGGAGAAAAAAATCGCTCTAAAAACACAAATATGTCGAAATCGCCTTCGGTGTGCTTTCAGTCAACAAAAATCTAATTTCCATCAGAATAGAAGACATTCGCATACATGAATGGCAACAACATGGCGAATGGTGAATATTGTTGAATCAAAAAGGATGTGTTTCAGCAGAAATGTAATGCTTCTAAATTAGGCGCTCAGAACGGCCTATGCATTTGACCGACCTAATACATTCAGCTTCAGCTTCAGCAATCGCAGCAGCCACCCATCGCCAATTAGCGTGACCTAAGCGCCGCGAAGTCCCCCTGCCCGTGGACACGTGTCCTATTAGGATACCAGTGCCATACTCGCCTTGCGCCTAAAGAGGTTCGACCCGTGAGTTGAGTCGTAGTAGCAGTATAATATTGTAGTCATTTTTTTGGTCGTAGTTTAACAATTACATGAACCTATAGCTTTATTCCTTTGTTGTGTAGTATATCATAGGCGGTTCGTGTGCATTGTACTACTTTTTTAATGTGATATGTTAATAGTTGATGCAATGCCTGTAGGCCGGGCCAGTAGATCGTCGTCAAATGTAAGGCAAAGGGCTAGTAAAGATCATGGCGTAGTCCCGGGTAATGCGATACACACTGGGTATTTCCAGTCGGGCGGCTTAGGCCATAACTTAAGGTGTTCCGCCGTGCCCATGAGTGGCGGCAGCGAGCGCGGTGTAAGTCCCCGTTAGTTACCCTCACGCCGAACACATGCAAACGAGCTCGTCGTGGTCACTAGCTCATCCAAAGCAGAAATCAGAAAAGATCAGACGGATATCATTATCTGGTTTTGAGCATAGTCTCTCGGATATTTCTTGATCGGTACCCACTGATACCTCTATTTTTAGTTCCAATGGGCAACGATTTCCTAGTAACATCCGCCTTCAACGAAATAGAGGTCCAATCTAACGCCTACTCACTTCTGCATACCCTCTCAGAACATGGAACTATCTTCTAACGCTCCCAAGCAAACTCGGTAGATGATTTTGCCGTTTACGTGGCTTGAGATACGCATATGTAGCTAAGATAAAATGGGCTTTGTCATCAAGGCGCTTGCTGGCTACACGGTGTCGCTCAACTATTCCATATGATACTATAAAGTGGTAAGCCTGAATAATGGATGGCCTCTCGTTAAACCTTACCGCATCTCCGCCTGTGGTAGTGTTCAGTGTTTCAGGAACCGTTGATGAACGAACCGGAAGCATCTGAAACTTGAAAGCAAGTATATCCTTGTTTGTTGGCAGATAATAATGAATGCTTTGATTACCTCGTTTTTTGTACAGATCTCCTCATCTATACCACATAACTTCTCATTGAGCGGGCTTATCAGACTAGTCACTAAAATAGCCGATGTTCAGAAAACAAAACTGCAAACTGCACACGGGGGACAAAACTCACTCAGTACCGGTGAACTAGCTGACAGCCTGCCCAGCAATGCAAAAAGCTGTCTTGCTTGGCAGGACATCAACTCACAAGTTCAAAGGTGGCAGCAATGCCATAAGATGTGCACGTGATATTCACAACAGATTCCAGAAAAGGAAAAAATAAAAATGAAAACGCTTTTGGGAAATGAAATCTCAAAAGGATCATTTAAACGCATTCCAATCATCACAAAAGCCACACGTGCGTGCATGCAAGTACATCATCATACATGAGGGCAGAGAATCGATAATTTCGATCAATATTCATTAATATTGGGACTACGGATTCACACCGTGGAAATGCACGACCAAGGAATAAACCTACACTTTCCGCTATATAATGGTTTCAGATTAAGAAAGGTGGGACGGGCTGAAAATGAGGTGATTGTTGATTGATAATTGACTGAATAGTAGTCGTAGAGACAGAATCCTACTCTGATGTTCAACCAAATAATATGAATTTGAGTTTTGTGGCAGTCATCGGATTTGCTGTGTGTGGTTCCCTAATCCAGACTGAATACCCGTGTCAGATACTGCTGGACTTTGCCGCGCGCGGTTGCGTGGGCGGATGACTCCGCAACAGGATCGGCACATACTGCATCTCCCAAACTACACTTCTGATTGTGAGTCAGACCCGCAAAGCAATTGTGCAAAAAATATGAAAAATTCGGCAGTCAGCTGAGCTGATCCTGTACAAGTGAGACCGCTTAGGCGGCCTCTCGCGTGCTAGGCATAGACCAACTGATAGACACGGAATATACAGTGCATCAGATGACTGGAAGGATAACTGTTGAAATTGTGTGAGCAAGAAAAAAAGGAGTGCGAACTAAACCGTTATCAGTGATTGTCTACGTGTTCAGAAAACATGTAGAGCTGTGAGTCACCACCACAATATCGTTGTTAAACTAGCAAAGCAGTGTTGGTGAAAACTGAGTGTTAGAAGACAAGAAGTTCAAGCCAAACAGCAAAATGAAAAATTTTGAAATAAGAAATCTGATTCCACTACACCGTGTTGTGAGAGAATACATAGTCAAAAACCAGGTGCCGATAGTGCCGTTATTCATGCCAATCGCGTGAAGCCTTCGCTTTTGGCTATTTTCACGTCATTGAAATCCTACTTTATTAGTGACTTTGTCGGAAAAGAGCCAAATGACTGAGGGCACAATGCGCGGCTACACAAGCAACTAATTAGCCCACCCATCGACGTCGTCGACATCGACATCGGCGTATCCGAAGTTGCCGTTGTTACAGGAGGGCGGTGGTGCTCACCAATTGCCTCGCCCTGTCGTGATGCCATCGACAATTGATTGAGGGGCTGAAAAATTCGTAAAGTAATTAATGAGGCTTGAAAATATCTCACCAAGGAGAAACAAATGAGACATATAGAGCTGAAAGCAGAGCTCGAATATCTTAACAGTAAATATTCGCAAGGGAAGCTTAGCACAGTAGCGGTCAAAAGTGTTCGCCGAAACGATTTTCAGTGCATTATTTTTTCTCGCTTGAGCAACGCCCTCCAAAGATTGATATACTATGTTTTCTAGTGTTTTTATATCCTCAAGTCTTAAAGAATCAGGATATTCAAAAGAAAAATTTTCGAGGTCACCATTGATTTTTTTCTGGCAAAAAAGAGAAGCACGAAAAACCGTTTCGGCGTACACTTTTGACCGCTAGAGGACGCGCATTACGCTCGGATTCGCCAGAGTAGGTTTCGAAGGTCAACACATCAACGCAAAACACCAATAGTGATGCACATAGTTTTCTACTTGCCAAAAAAAAAACACTGCCTGCACTATGTCTTCTTTGCCGTACAGGTTTTTCCGGTGAGACTTCTTATTGGTCAACATTTTGACAATACGTCGTCTTCAGGACCTGGAACCAGGGTCAACCCTACGTTGTTACTAGTAACAACGGGGGGGGGGGGGGTCGCACCCGTTTCAGTCGCTTGAAATCACATGCGAGTTTGAGGTGAAACTGAAGTTTTTATGGGTAGGTAGGTTGGGTGAGTTGAGGGGCGCAGGAAAAAAATCGTGTAAATAGGTAAAAGCCGGTAGAAGTAGAGTAAAATGGCGGAGATATAGGAAGAATTTTACCTGTTTCAGAGTAGCTATTATACTTCCCCGCTCGACGGCATTCTTGGAGGTAAATGTGGGCGGGGTTTGGTGGGTTGAGTGGTATCAGAACTAAAGCAACAGTCCAAGAACGGAATTCGCGGGAACAAAACCCATTTTCGTATTTACGAGGTAGAGGGTAAATTAAAAGTTGTGTCGGCATCACTACATCGATTGCTTCAAAGGATCGACCTCAAATAGTCCCGGCGGTCCCGCAACGACCGCCAATCAACTACGCGCTCTTCACAGCAGCAAGGGGGCGGCTCCACCGAGGCTCGGTGGACCCGCCCTTTTCGAAGAAGTTCGAGCCCTTCCTACGCATTTCAAAGGTAAGTTTTCAATTCAGTGACAGTTCCTATGAACTTTACTTGGGCTGGGGCATGCTTCCACACCTCAGGATTGAATTGGTTGAAACCCTCCTTGGACTGTTGCTTTAATTTACGAGACGAGTGATGACTGGTCGAGGTGTGGAAAGGGGGTCCTATCAAATCCACCTTGGGGGAGGGCGGTCGTAAAATTTTTTTGAAAAAGTAACAACGATAGGGACCCCGCCTGGAACTGATTCATTCAGATTCTAGCTCGCAACTGAGCCGCGTCTGAACGGCTCCATAGAAAAGGTCACCAGCGGCGCGGACGCGTTCGCGTGTTGGTGACGTCAATTTGACGTCACAGCGGCGGCGAGGGAATGAGCAACGGCTGAAGTTACCGCCAATACTTCAATACATAACGAGCGTTTGTCGCACAATAAGTTCACCGTGTAATAAGTACTGGTGTAAGTAGGAATCAAAGTCAAAGAACGGGTTTATAGGAGCAACTTTAACTTGGTGTTGCATTTCTAAGAGTTCACGGATGATGGTATTGATTTCTTTCGTTTCATTATGGATTGGAATACCCATTTCTACTTTGTAATTCTTGGTTTTCGAACATTTTATGGTATTATTGGCATGTGCCCTCTCGATTACAATCGGAACATTGCATATTTCATTTGAAAATTCCTACTCTTTGGGGAGGATGACACTTTACGTGCTAAACTCATTTCACTCTCCGCACTATTGATTGCATTGGTTAGTAAAGTGCCAGCAACTCTGTTACTGTTCCAGTGAAGTGTCAGTGGTGCTGGCCCGTTTTCCGTTGCTCTTGCCGCAGCTGTGACGTCACCAGCACGCGCTCGCGTCCGCGTTGCCGGTGACCTTTTCTCTCCCCCCCCCCCCCTTTAAACTGACCAGTCATACTTAGGTAATTTGAACAGTCCTCCAACATGAGTGTCCGGCACATAACATGGGAACGTCGACTAGTCTAGTAGGATTGGTGGCATAATCAGGCGAGCTGCAAGCTGGAATCCGAACCATTTTCAGGTCCTGAAGACGACGTATTGTCGAAACAGTGATCACTGAAGATTTCCACTGTAAAAAACCCATACGGCACGGAAGAACTTTACAACATTCGAAATCATCAGGTTTCAAGAAGACAGACCATCAAATTTACTGTGCACACCTTTGTACAGAACGATTACCCACCAATGAAATGGTATTCGGGAGACTAACAGCACGCTTCATTCGGAATGATTGACTTGGAATTCCGAAGTGAGAAAGTCGTTGTTGTCTTTCTCTCCTGAATTACGATGAAAAAATCAATATATCGCGTAATTGTTCCTGTGCTCTAGTAAACACTTCCTGATCATACCTGCTTAGCATGTTGGTAATTGCCACCTCTTGTCGCAGTCGATCGAGTTTCAACATCGACTCTACCGCTTGGATTGACTTCGTATATGCTTCGATGTAGCTGAAACTATTCAAGAAGTATGAGAGTGCTGAGAGTTGACAGAGCCAGTGACCCAGCTGGACCAGTTGATCTGTACAATTTCCCATGCAAAAAGGATCAAAGATGGCCGCAACCAAAGAAGTGCGGCGTCATCGAAGTTCGATAGCGTCTGCTTCTCTATACCAGAATTGTGCACAGCTTGAGAAAGCATCTACGGAGCAAGGGTCATGCTTGGTATTTGCGGGGCATGGACCAAGAAGTACAGAGCGCTATTAGTTGAATGAAACTCCGCCCATGGTGCGCGCGTATGCACCCAAATGGGAGTTGCCGACAGCAAAATTGTCCAGTTAGGCGTTAGCACATCCCAAAGACCGGGAAAAATGGTAGTTGCAGGCAGCGAGTTGCATGGTCAGACTATTGAGAACAAATCACGGCGGGCGAAGCGTTCTAAACGAAGCGATGCTTACCAGGAAAATGCACTCAGTTTTAGGACGGCACACAAAGCAGAAAAAATTTGTGCAAGATGATTAGATTTTATCACTTTCTTGACGTTATGCTTGACTTTCCGCTTTTTTTCTTCATTGTCAACATATGTCGTGAGGCATGTAATAAACATTACATTGCAAATCACCTCCATTAAGGCCAGGAGGTCAGGACAAAAGTGGAAGGAGGCAGGGGAGGAAGGGAGGCCAAGCGCATCTGGGAAAGACGTGCACCAGAGTGGGTGGGATTTACCATGGTGTTACAGTTTAGTAAAGAAAGGACCATGAGACAAGTATAAAAGACGGAGGCTGTTAGAGAAGGGGAGCATATGCCATAGTAGGCGGGGTGCGCATTGAGATGGGTGAGGCTCCCCATAGAGTTTATGATTCGGTCCTGAAATGGCCCTTAGAGTTGAAGCTCTATAGGATCATAGCCTATTAATTGATATCAATAGAACTCGTTTTGAGAAGAAGGCCGAACATGGGAATTGAACCACACATTGGTGGCTGGGGCTATGGTGCGTGTCTGTGTGCGAATCATAACACAATGGTGGGAGAAGGAGGGAGGGTTGTTAAGGTAATAAAAGTCCTAACACAAAATAAAATATTGCTTTTGCGGACTCGAGGAAGGCGCTAAGGCGACGGAAGGTTGCATTAATCGGTTCAGATATCTTACGTCTTTTTTGGAACGCTTTTTTTAAACAAATATTTCAGAGTGCTTCAACACACCTCGAATTATGTGAGAACAAAACTGAGGTATTCAGTAATTGTGAGCTATACAAACCTCAGCTGCCGATTCGAATGCCTGCCGCCTTCGTTACCAACGGGTTGCTCATCTTCGGATGATGTTGTATGACGAGCGGCCATCAGCGCTAATGAGGATCGTTCCTCCATGTCGTGGGAAGACTGAAACCATTACCAGATAATTTCGGCAGGGCAGATGTACGCCTGATTAGTTCTACTAACTTTTTAAAGCTCAGAATCGGTTGGGAGAGTTGGGGTGAGGGGAGAGGGGAAGAGTTCCAAACCCAAATCTGAGAATATGGATGCGGCTGAACCAAATTGTAACTTTGTGATATACACCTGATAGAGGTCGACCTATTTTACAATTTCACAGACGCGAACACGTGCGACCAATCCACATCCCCTGTAGAATGTGCCACGATAGGACGCAGGATGCCCGACATGAGGCCCGTCGCGCGGCGAGAAGGCAGAGACGTAAACGACTTGCAGCGCGTACTGAGTGGGACGTACTATAGCACATCCTTCTTAAGTTGAGGCTAAATCGCTACAGTACGCGTTGCGACTCGTCAGCTAACCAGTGTGCGGCGCTCTCCGCTGGGTGACGGGCCTCCTGTAGGGCGCTCCGGGACGCAAGATCACGCCTCTTGCAGTTGAACTCTTTTGCTGTGGGACTATGATGAGGAAA